AATTAGCCAGGCATGGTGGTGCATGTCTGTAATCCCAGCTACTTGGGAGGCTGAGGCAGGAGAATTACTTGAACCCGGGAGGTGGAGGTTGCAGTGAGCCAAGATCATGCCACTGCACTCTAGCCTGGGCAACAGAGTGAGACTCCCGTCTCAAACAAAGAAACAAAGAAACAAACAGAGTAGATTGTGTTCACAAAGATGATGGTAGCTGCTGCCACCAAATGTTGCCCACTGAGACATGAGCAACAGTTTGTCTGCACTGAGAACTCAGTAAGCACATCTGTGACTTTGCCTGTTCTGAAAGTTCTAATCTCCAACACACATGTGGATCATTAATGTAGTTGTTGAAATTACAGAGAATAATGAATGACATGATAATCACGGAAAGTGAGGCAATTAACTGGGTCTGAAGTCATCAAAAAATGAGGAGAATGACAAGTTTTCTCTGTGTGGAATAAAATAAACAGAGATATGGAATTTGTCAGATTTAATGGCATGTACTTCAAAAAAGCTATGGCTTTTACAAGAGAATGGAGAGATATGTTGGAAGCAGTAAAAAGGAACCAGATGCGAAAGTAAGTGGTTTTCAAGCAAAAATAGCCTCCTCCTGACAGGTCATGGGGGAAGGTTTGTTCTCAGGAGAGCCTCTCATGTTTTGTATAGAGCCAAAAAGAGAAGTTCAGAGAAGAGGCTGTGGATATAGGGAAGCTTTCTAAAAGCCACAGATTATGAAGGAGTCAGAGGAAGAGTTAAATAGGGCAGGGAGAGCAGTCGATGGTCAGGTTAGGGATGTGGAAAGCATCAGTGTGATGGCGCATGATTTGGGAACCTTCAATTTCTGACTGGGACTGAGGTGAATGGGGCATGAAGGGCTTGACCTTGGCAGTTGCACACCTGGCATGCACCTCAGGGTAGCTGGTCTTGCCTTGGCTACTGATAGCATACAAATGACGGGCAGTTCCTTTGATTCTGTCTATCCTACCCATCCAGATGAACTCAGTCACCTATTAGGGTCTTGAAAAGGAGGCAGGCAGGTGTTTTTGTTTTTCCATAGACATAGAAATATCTTTCTCAGTGGCATCAATCATCCATCTCTCCACTCCCCCCTCTCCCACAGCGGAGCCAAGACCCCAGACAGTCCCATGGCCATGCATTCTCCCTTGGAATGATTTCCGTTGGTGATGAAAGTGATGCTAGGGGCCTTTGTTGGAATCTACCAAAAATGACTATTCTAGAAAAAGCCAGATAGTGAAATTCTAGTTTCCCAGGACTAGCAGAATGTGCCCCCCTGACAGTGGAGCAGTTCCCTTACAGTGCCTAGCCACCCTTCCTGGCCTCCTTGCACACCTCTGCTCCCGTTTTCAGGAGAACACAGGCCCTAGTTCACATTATTTCTCCTCCTCCAAGATTATAAGAAGTGACAGCTTATTTCTGCAAATTTATTTACTCTAAGTTTCACTCTGTCAAAGCAGGGTCTAAATATTATTAGTCCGATAATATCATCTTGCTGAGTGATACAAAGTTTCTGTTGCTCTGGGAATCCACACATTCTCATGTGTTGAGTGTCTTCAGTTGCTGGACACTGTACTTAGCCTTTTAATGTGTTATTTATGGTCCTCAGAAAAACCTTGCATGATATGTGCTCAAGTTTTCTTCTTATAGATGAAAATAAGCGAGGTTAAGTATCTCACCTACCATCACAGACGAGTGAGTGGAGGACCTAACTAAAACCAAAGTCCATTTGACTTCAAAGTTTGTGCCCTTTTTGTGATATTAGAAGAAAAGAGAAGTCCAGATTTTGCATGAACTAGCAGAAAACTTTGCCCCCTTCCTTGTGGGGCTGAATCCCCTATGCCAGGCCATGGAAGCCCCAAGTAGGCTGGGTAAATGGAGCAGTCTGATTGCATAGGCCTGAAGGGTCTGTGATTTTATCTTCTCCAGGCTACCCGTGGAGTGGTTGGTTTCTGTAATGTGGTACTTAAGCTTTTATGGGTTTGCTAGTGAATTTCAGTCTCATGAGCAATATTGTTTCTGTAGAAAAATATATTTTGCGGCAAAATCCACCAAATTCCAATGGGAAGTTGTCTATATTTATCATTTTAAAGAATTAATTTGTTAAAAATGATTATTATTCAAAAGTAATATAATGATTTGACTATATGTCTTAGTCATACAGACTTGAATAATATAGAGACACAAACATGGTTTTTTTTTTTTCAAGTTAGGCCTAATTTAGAATGAAGATTGAATATGTATAGAATAGTTGTATAGAAAAATAATACTTATTCTATTTTTTCTTAAAATATTAATTTATTTTACTATTAAGTAATGCATAATTATTATAGGAAATCTAGAAAATACAGAAGAGTAGAAAGAAAAAAATCATAATCATTTAATTGCAACATGAAGGAAATCCATTATAAACATATATATACTATAGAAATATATGTGTCATATATATGATATATATCACACATAAATGATATATATATATCACATATTTGTATAAAAAATGCTGGGAAGACCTGGCTCACGAGGTTGGCTGGAAGTACCAGGCAATGACAGATACCCTGGAGGAGAAGAGAAAGGAGAAGTCCAAGTTCAACTACCATAAGAAACAGCTCATGGGGCTATGGAAATAGGCTGAAAAGAATGTGGAGAAGAAAACTGACAAATACACAGAGGCCCTCAAGACCCATGGACTTCTGGTCTGAGCCCACTGAAGACTGTTTATTCCTCATGCTTGGCCTGGCCTCCCCTTCTTCCGTCATTGCCCTGGAATGCGGTGGACCCAGGGGCAGTAGCCCCAGTGCCATAGGCAGCCTGAGAGTTACGCAGTTGGGAGCAAGGAGGGGAGGCTGGCAAGATGGCCAAATAGGAACAGCTGTGGTCTGCAGCTCCCAGTGAGATCGATGCAGAAGGCGGGTGATTTCTGCATTTCCAACTGAGGTACCCGGTTCATCTCACTGGGTCTGGTTGGACAGCCGCTGCAGCCCACAAAGGGCGAACTGAAGCAGGGAGGGGTGTCATCTCACCCAGGAAGCACAGGGGTTGGGGAATTCTCTCCCCTAGCCAAGGGAAACTGTGAGAGACTGTATCTGGAGGAATGGTGCATGCTGGCCCAGATACTGCGCTTTTCCCACGGTCCTCACAACCTGCAGACCAGGAGATTCCCACCTGTGCCTACCCCACCAGGGCCCTGGGTTTCAAACACAAAACTGGGTGGCATTTGGGCAGGCACTGAGCTAGCTGCAGGAATTTTTTTTTTTTTTTCATACCAAGGTGGCACCTGGAGCGCCAGTGAGAGAACTATTCACTCCCCTGTAAAGGGCCTGAAGCCAGGAAGCCAAGTGGTCTGACTTGGGGGGTCCCACCCCCAAGAAGCCCAGCAAGCTAAGATCCACTGGATTGAAATTCTTGCTGCCAGCACAGCAGTCTGAGCTCGACCTGGGATGCTGGAACTTAGTGCGCGGAGGGGCACCTGCCATTGCTGAGGCTTGCCTAGGCAGTTTTCCCCTCACAGTGTAAACAAAGACACTGGGAAGTTGGAACTGGGTGGAGCCTGCCACAGCTCAGCAAGGCCTCTGTGCCTCCTCTCTGGGCAGGGCATCTCTGAAAAAAAGGCAGAAGCCCCAGTCAGGGACTTATAGATAAAACCCCCATCTGCCTAGGACAGAGCACCTGGGAGAAGGGGGTGGCTGTGGGCGCAGCTTCAGTAGACTCAAACGTCCCTGCCTGACAGCTCTGAAGACAGCAGTGGTTCTCCTAGCAAACATTCCAGCTCTGATAAGGGACAGACTGCTTCCTCAAGTGGGTCCCTGACCCCCGCGTATCCTGACTGGGAGACACCTGCCAGCAGGGGCCCATGGATACCTCATAGGGAAGAGCTCCAGCTGGCATCTGGTGGGTGCCCTTCTGGGACGAAGCTTCCAAAGGAAAGATCGGGCAGCAATCTTTGCTCTTCCGCAGCCTCCACTGGTGATACCCAGGCAAACAGGGTCTGTAGTGGACCTCCAGTAAACTCCAGCAGATCTGCAGAAGAGAGGCCCGACTCTTAGAAAGAAAACTAACTAACAGTATCAGCATCAAAAAAAGGACATTCACTCAGAGACTTCATCTGAACGTCACCAACATCAAAGACCAAAGGTAGATAAATCCATCACGATGGGGAGAAACCAGCTCAAAAAGGCAGAAAATTTCAAGAACGAGAATACCTCCTCTCCTCTAAAGGATCACAACTCCTCACCAGCAAGGGAACCAAACTGGATGGAGAATGAGTTTGACGAACTCACCACAGTAGGCTTCAGAAGGTGGGTAATAACAAACTCCTCCGAGCTAAGGGAGCATGTTCTAATGCAATGCAAGGAAGCTAAGAACCTTGAAAAAAGATAAGACAAATTCAAACTGCTAACTAGAATAACCACTTTAGAGGAGAAGATAAATAACCTGAAGGAGCTGAAAAACACAGCATGAGAACTTCGTAAAGCATACACAAGTATCAATAGCCAAATTGATCAAGTGGAAGAAAGGATATCAGAGACTGAAGATCAACTCAATGGAATAAAGCAAGAAGACAAGATTAGAGATAAAAGAGTGAAAAGAAACAAACAAAGCCTCCAAGAAACATGGGACTATGTGAAAAGACCAAATCAACATCTGATTGGTGTACCTGAAAATGACGGGAAGATTGGAACCAAGTTGGAAAACACTCTTTAGGATATTAGCCAGGAGAACTTCCCCAACATAGCAAGGCAGGCCAACATTCAAATTCAGGAAATACAGAAACACCACAAAAATACTCCTCTAGAAGAGCAACCCCAAGACACATAATCATCAGATTCACCAAGGCTGAAATGAAGGAAAAAATGTTAAGGGCAGCCAGAGAGAAAGGTTGGATTACCCACTAAGGGAAGCCCATCAGACTAACAGTGGATCTCTCGGCAGAAACCCTACAAGCCAGAAGACAGTGGGAGCCAATATTCAACATTCTTTTTTTTTTTTTTTTTTTTTTTTAAGATGTAAATTTTAATACATTATTTATTTTTTGAACTTGAACGGGAACCGGAATGGGATGATCCAGAAGATGACCTGTGGCGTCTGGGTAAAGTAGTGGTGTTCCGTAGGGGTTGGCCCTGGGCTCAGGGTTGTTTAGTGTTTTCACCAATCACCTGGCTTTCGGGTGACCGTGATCTTGTTCGTCTTTTTTTGCGATCACCAGATGAAGAAGATCTAGAACGACTTCTCTTTCTGTTCCTCTCAGGAGAAGATGATGAACTTGAATAAGATCTTTTTCGTGGGGAAGAAGAGCCCCTGTGGGACCTGGAGCTGGATCTTGATTTCGACCCACGAGATCTCGAACGTTCTCTGGAACTGGAACGAGATCTTGACTGCGAACTGGAAGAACTTCTTGAACGGGACCTGGACCTAGACCTTGAACTTGAGGGGGAGGATGAGCGTGATGAAGATCGTGAATGTGAAGATCGAGACTTTGAGCGACTTCGTCTATTAGATTTCTTTTTATTACTATCTTCTTCTTCACTGGCATCAAGATTATATTTTGAGAGATCAGCATCATCTTCATCCTCATCCTCATCTAATTTGTATTTGGAAAGATCTTCATCCTCATCCTCTTCTTCTCCCTCTGATTCTTTATCTTCAACTTCCTTTAATATAGATGCAGGACCAACTGCTTTCCCTCTGTATTTTTTCTTTTTACGTCCAAACTCATCATATTCACCATCAGATTCTTCTCTTTCTATATATTCAACATTTTCTCTTTCATTAAAACCACCACCATATCCTGTTCTTTCTTCTAATTTAGCATACTTTGGAGTATTACACATATTACACTCTGATCTTCTGGCCCAATTCACATTGCTGCAAGTTTTACATTGCCAGTCATTAGCACTAAATAGGCCTCGGCTCTTTTCTGCAAGTGTCTTTCCTATTTCAGTGCCCCCAGTCATTTCAAGCCTTCAAGAACAATTTTCAAACACAGAAAAAAAAAAAACAAAAAAAAATTTCAACCCAGAATTTCAGATCCAGCCAAACTAAGCTTCATAAGCGAAGGAGAAATAAAATTCTTTACACACAAGCAAATGCTGAGAGATTTTGTCACCACCAGGCCTGCCTTACGAGAGCTCCTGAAGGAAGCACTAAACAGGGAAAGGAATAACTGGTATCAGCCACTGCAAAAACATACCAAATTGTAAAGACCATCAACACTATGAAGAAACTGCATCAAATAACAGCAAGATAACCAACTAGCATCATAATGACAGGATGGAATTCACATATAACAATATTAACCTTAAATGTAAAGAGGCTAAATGACCCAATTAAAAGATACAGACTGGCAAATTGGACTGTCAAGACCCATCAGTGTGCTGTATTCAGGAGACCCATCTCACATGCAGAGAGACACATAGGCTCAAAATAAAGGGAGGGAGAAATATTTACCAAGCAAATGTAAAGCAAAAAAAGGCAAGGGTTGCAATCCTAGTTCTAATAAAACAGACTTTAAACCAAAAAAGATCAAAAGAGACAAAGAAGGGCATTACATAAGGGTAAAGGGATCAATGCAACAAGAAGAGTTAACTATTCTAAATATACATGCACCCAATACAGGTGCACCCAGATTCATGAAGCAAGTCCTTGGAGGCCTACAAAGAGACTTAAACTCCCCCACAATAATAGTGGGAGACTTTAATACTCTACTGTCAATATTAGACAAATCAATGAGACAGAAAATTAACAAAGATATCCAGGACTTGAACTCAGCTCTGCACCAAGCTGACCTTATAGACATCTACAGTACTCTCCACCTCAAATCAACAGAATATACATTCTTCTCTGCACCACGTCACACTTATTCTAAAATTGACCACATATTTGGAAGTAAAACACTCCTCTGCAAATGCAAAAGAACAGAAATCATAACAGTCTCTCAGACCACAGTGCAGTCAAATTAGAACTCAGGATTAAGAAACTCACTCAAAACTGCACAACTACACAGAAACTGAACAACCTGTTCCTGAATGACTACTGGGTAAATAACGAAATTAAGGCAGAAATAAAGATGTTCTTTGAAACCAATGAGAACAAAGACACAATGTACCAGAATCTCCGGGACCCATTTAAAGCAGTGTGTAGAGGGAAATTTATAGCAATAAATGCCCGCAAAAGAAAGCAGGAAAGATTTAAAATTGACACCCTAACAGTAAGTTGGGAACAAGGAAAGGGTCTTAGTCACTGCCCTTCTGTAAGGTTAATTTAAAGCACACACACACACACACACACAGAGGCACATGTGCACATATGTGTGCACACTTTCACAATTGCCTTCTGACCATCACTCTTTGGATCTAAATGGTGAGTAATTCAGGTGTTGCAGGCTGTTGCTATTCACTGCTTATACAGAATTTCAGTTCCACTGATTATCCCTAGAATCCTCTGAGAGGAACTTATGAAACTCCCCTCCCCTTTCCACCCCTCAGGAATTCTCTGTGGTAGCTCTCCCGGGCACTACTCCTGTGCCATGGGGAATAGTTATGCCCTCCAGCCACAGTTTTCTCTTGCTCAGCTGCAAACTGGATTCCTTGAAATGGCAGAGCTGCTTTATGTTTTATTCTGAAAAGAAGATAATACCTCTCCCTTACTCCGAGGATTATACACGTTTAGTGGGTGCCATAACAAGGCTATTCGTGTTTTAACAGTTTGCAAGATTCTAGTGAACGTACTTTTTTGGTAGTTTTCATACCCTGATCCTCGTATGACTTAGAAATAAGTCTAGTGGAGGCCCAGCTGTGAACCACAGGATTACTCCTGTCTTCCCCTAACCAAGAAAGCCTTTCTTGCTGATAGAAGTCTTTGAGCCTGGCCTCTTATCTCAGGATGAATTCTCACCAGTAGTTCCCAATCCTCATGCATTCTGGAAAGAAAGGGCACCCCACCTGTTTGTTATATATGTCCAAATTAAATTATTCCCAAGGAGTCTGAAACCACTGTTACAAATGCAAGCTGGAGATAATATGGAACTTTTAAAAGAAGGCAATAGAAAGCATAACATATACAATTATTAGCACATTGCATGAATTATAGTAAATGTTAATATACTCAAAAGATATTGACTATTGACATTATTTTAAATATAGCTTTTTAAACATATAATGTATGCATTTTTGTCATTATTCTTCAAAACAGCATTTTTTGGGGGTCATTATTCTTCAAAATAATCTAGTGGGGTGACCTTCCTTCCCAAAATGTCTCTGTAATACTCCACTACATATACAGTGGGTACATATACAATGAAAATAGTAGAAAACAGAAATGTTTCTCCTAGTAAAAAGCACATAAGGAGAATTTAATGTAATAATTATGTTTAGGAGGTGTGCTTGCAGAAAAAACATGTTTAATAAACTTGAAAACGGATATTATGAAGTCTGAGGACATCAGGGCCTTTTAGGGGGCCTTTACCCATAAAAATGAGAACAATGAAGAGGCCTGGATGGTGTATGTCTCTAAACAAGGCAGGCAGTCTTGTAGGTTGGCTTTCCAGAACTTAGGGAGTGCTTGTGTTTTTGCTCCTCGTTTCTGATGTAGGCTTCTCAGCAACCTTGTGAAGCAGGAACCATGTGCAACAGGGATGCAGTTCCCATCAATTTTTGTGGATTTGATTCACCTGTTGGAGATGTGCTGCCAAGGAAAGAAAAGTGAAAGTGTGTTTTCAAGACACACCCTTGTTTCTATGTTTATTCTCTTAGCACTCTTATGGTTTATTAACGTAAAAAATTTTTAAAAAGTTACCACAAAAAACCAGCAAGACCGTTTCCCATTCCAATCATGAGTGTATTAGGAGAAAATCACAGTCTAGGTGGATTGGAGTAATTGACTATATTTGGGTTTAGAATATGTTAATATTTATCAACATTTGAGGAAACCAGGAGAACTAGACATGAATAGAGATTAATACAGCAGTCAAGATCCCAGCTGGATGGGGGATGCTTAGAATTGGGAGTTGATGGAAACAGGATGACTTGAAAAACATTAGTAATTGTACAGAAATGGTGTCCTTGGAAAATGTAGATAAATGTTAAAGAAATAACAGTTTAAAAGCCTATCTTTTAAATGGGAGTTTTGTTCTAGAAGTTTCTGGAGCACAATCAGAAAAAGTCACCAAATGTGGTTTGAGGTTCAACTAGGGAACAAGGTAAAAAAATACTTTATTTTCTCCGTCTGAAGTTCATGAGAATAGAGGTTGAGGAATGGAGAGAGGAAAGATGAATGACAGAAGAAAAAAGTACTCTATTCTATGCATACACACCAAACAACTGCCAGGAGACTACTTTCCTAATTAATCTAATTGTGTATAGTTAACCAGTAAATTATTTTCCTTAAGATAGTTGTCTGACTTAAATTGCTGAGAATATCATGGTAGCATGTAGCACAGTAAATTCATGCAAACTCCCTGAGGCAGGGAGATCTGACACAGACTGCTCTACCAGTGATGTGACTTTAGGAGCAGAAACTCAGATACAGCAGGTGACAGTGTCTGTAGAGAAATGCAAGTGTATAGTTAACAAAACAAAACAAATGCAAAGTAGCCTCGTGCTTTGGTAAAACACTGGGGCTGGTGAAGACTTGGGTTAGGTTTAATAATGGCCTTGGGAAATGTTTTCAAAGGTAATAATTTTCACGAATGTCTTTACCTGCAGTGGCTCATTTTTACCTGTTGAGCTAAACTGTACATGTGCTTATGTTAAGTCATATGTCTATAGTTTAGTCAAGATTAAGCAAACTACATAGCCCTTGAGCTAAACCAGCTCCACTTCCTGTTTATATAAATAAAGTTTTATTGGTAAATAGTCACATCCATTTATTTAAAAATTGTCTATCACTGCTGCATTCAGGCTACAGCAGCAGAATGAGTAGTGGGGACAGAGACTTTACGAATTGTAAGGCCCCAAATATTTCTCTTCACAGAAGATGTTTGCTGACTCTTGAACTACTACAAAACAAATATAATCGCCTACATCAAAATCTATTTATTAATTTTAAAGTCTTATTACTTTTTATAAAACATTTGGAAAGCATCTCTCTGAGTTACAACTTTATATCTACTCAATAAACACTTCTGCTGAAGTGAAGTGCCTGTGTAATTTCCAAGGAAATTTTCTTGAAATGTTTTTACTCTTGAGCCTGAATACTACTTGCTTGAACTACTTCATCAATAACATAATAGAAAGATTTTTGTGTGCTTTTTCTTATGCTTTTTGCACAATAACAATCTTCAACTTAATGGTTAAAAAACTCAAAATTGTTCCCTTCTTTATCCTTTCTTTTCTTTTAGGACTTTCCCCCAAATTAAAGGAGAAAATAGAAGTTATCTGAAGATTATATCATGCTAATTATAATTTTCTATAATTACATCTTCAGATAAAATGCTTATTATGTATAATTATGCATAATCTCTAAAGTTTGGTTGGGTTTACCTTGTGTGATTATTTTAAGGCAATAATTCTCCAATTTTAGTGTGCATCAGAATCACCTATAAGGTTTGTTAAAACACATGAATGTGCTCCATTCACACAATTTCTGATTCATCTGATTTCATCTGGGCTGGGGCCTGATAATTTACATTTCTAACGTGTTCCCTGGTGATACCGATGCTGCTGATTTGGGAACCACACTTGAGGAACCACTTTTCTAAGGTGGAGATAGACAATCACAAATTATTCCCCATTCCCCTCCCAATGGTTGAGGAGTTGGAACCACATATGGTAAAATAAATAATTTAATACATAAAATAATAATAAATAACAGCTGGAAAAGTAACATTTATAAAAGAAAATGAAAGAATCTGAGGATATTAAATAGGATAAGAAGACTGGAATATTAAAAAAAAAACCTTATAGTATATGAAAAGGCTTACATCATTCTCAGCAAACTATCACAAGATCAGAAAACC